TCGAGCAGTCTTCGTAATTGTTCACTGTTAAACATCTTATGACATGACCACAAGGTATCCCATCAAGTTGCCAATGCCTACATGTACATGTCATATGTTTGAAATCAACAATCACATTTTGTGCCCCCTTTTTTACCTCGCATTTCGTATTAGAGATCATGCGAACATCCCATTTGCTAAAACTTTTCTTGTTCTCTTTTACAATTTCATCCGCCCAAGGGGTAAGAATTGTTGTTGCTTCCGCTAAAAAAAGAGCCAAAATGAAGAAGTTAAGATCAATAACATCAAAATTAATAAAACATTAATATTAAAAATTTACTTAATACCTGCAAAGTTACGTCTTTGAAACCACCATTGTTGCATTGTAGCACGAAAAAAATCGATCAACATAAGTATTGGCACCTTACGCGCGTGTCTAGATAATGCATTTATAGACTCCGCACTGTTGGACGACATAAGATTGTATCGGTTCCCTTTAAAATGTGCTCTGGACCAAGTTTCTGGATTTATACTTTTCAAATACTCCCATACTGGTTCTTTTGTCTTTTTCATAACATCCATGGCGGCATCAAAAGCATCAACTGTGTACGCCCTACACGCCTCCCAAAAAATTCCTTTAACCGTCTTACTCTTGCCGAATCTAGAGACTATGTTGAAATACAAATGGACACCACATATTCCATGATGAGCGTGAGGAAAAATGTTGGCAACGGATGTTGCTATAGATGGAGACCTATCAGATATAATTGTAAGCTCCTGCATATTTCCTATGCAATCACGTAGTTTTTGAAAAAACCATGTCCAAGAATCGGTACACTCATTTTTGCATATACCATATGCAACCGGTAATATTTGGTTTTGTCCATCCTTAGTAACTGCAAGTAACATGGTACCTTTGAACTCGCCCTTTAGGTGAGCTCCATCTACTACTAGGGTCGGTTTACAAAAATTGACAAAAGCGCGTACCTACCATACATTGTATATCTATTCAAATACACCAAAATATAAATTAAAAATTAATATAATATGATAATACTAACCGAGCAACCGAGTGCGACGTACAGAAACTCAAAGCGGTCATCAACATCTGTTTTAATATGTGTGACAGTACCCGGATTATGTTTGGCCAAGTTGTGACAATACGCCGGAAGTTTGGTAAAAGAATCCTCTTTCGAACCCCTTAACGACAACAATGCATATTGCTTCGCACGCCATGCCTGATGGTATGAGATATTGATATTCAATTGAGCATTCATATCGTTAACAATTTCTTTTCCCCGATACACTCTACTATAGTCTTCAGCCAAAACATCAGCAACATATTCACCCAAAACATATTTGTTTGCTTGTCGATGATTAGGTTGCAACAATGTTGAAGAACATGTGTGTACATCAACAAATTTATTCACTTGGAAAAGACCATCAGAATTTTTAATTGCTTTTGCTCTTAGTAACCAAGAACAATTTTTCGAAACACACACAGCTTCATACCTTGATTTGGTGGATCTACTTGTCCTCGTCTGGAAACCTTCTCGAAGACATTTTTTACCAATACACCGCTTTAAAAGTTCTTTGTTCTTAAATATACTCTCACATTGAATCTTTTGAAGATTCATGTCTACCATCTGTGTTGGGATATCTTCATTAATATCAACTGGCCATGCTGGTACAGGGGGCATACCATGAAAAAGGTTATCGGGAAACTTAGCTTTAACTTCATCACCCAACTCATCTCTATCGGAATTGCTTTGTAGCTCGCTTATATCTAAACATACATCACCAACATCAACATAATGCCCGTAAACATGATTTTTTTCATTTTTTTTACTTGAATTTTTTTTCTTTTTTGTTTTATCTACCACACGCCTATTCATAAGTTTAACTTCTTGTTCGGCAACATCATCACAACGACCACCCACATGATTAAGATATGCACCAACATCATCATCCCCAACAGACTTGTAATTCTCAGGTTCCACATAGTGAATAGGTGAATAACTAACATTAACATTTTCAGCAACACTGTGAAACTGAGGTACACTAGGAGTATTGTAAGTACCTATCGGATCGTTTCTCCCTTTATAACTACATAAATTACCAACAACTTGGTTTCCAATTTCACCAGCCCCATTAACCTCCTCAACTTCATCAACCACCACAAACACTTTCACAGCCCTTCCTCCACTACATTTTATTACGTTTATCAACATTCTAACATCCATGTCTTCAACTATAGCTATATAATAATTTAATTCAGGATGTGTGAAACGAAGACTAATTCTATATTTGTCTAACAAACCAATTTTGCTTCTTACCAAAGATACAAAATCACTATAACTAATATACTCAGAAAATATCAAAGCAAGTTTAGAAATACCTCCCTGTGGACATATGTATTCCAGATTAGTTCCATTAACTTGCCATCTCCCACCGGTTACAAGACAAACCATATATTCAATCATTTTTTGAGAAAATTGTAGAGAGAGTTCCTAAACAAATAACAACCAAAATGATATTTTTTCTACAAAACTATTTATATAGCAACCTGATTTCGTAGTCAAAACAAACCATTTCATAGTCAACCTAAAAAAAAAAAAAAATTCAAAAAAACACGATTTCGCAGATACAATCAGAGGATTTCGCAGATGGACCTATTCCATCTGCGAAATAACCCCTATATATACAGCAAAAAATTTAAAAAAAAAAAAAAAAAAAAAAGGCCACCTGCGAAAGTACAAGTGCCTAAAGCACAACTGTGCTTTAGGCACTTGTACTTTCGCAGATGAGAAGCCCATTTCGCAGATGGGACCTTCTCATCTGCGAAATGTGTGGTTATTTTTGTAATTTCGATTTTTTTTGGCTATTTTTGTAATATCATTAGTGTAAATGGCTATTTTTGTAAATTTCTCTTTAATAAATAATTAGTTGATTATTTCCTTTAAAAAATTTACACTTTAATATATATATATATATATATATATATATATATATATATATATATATATATATATATATATATATATATATATATATATATATCCGGTAAGAAAATTTTTTTTGGTAGGAAGGTAAGAAGTTTTTTTTTTCTACATATTTTTTTCACGAACAAACTAAATGAATCACTAGGTGATTCATTTGCAAGATGATTTCACAAGAAAAAATTCTCAAAAAAACATATTTATGATTCATTTTTAAGTAAATTAAAAAAAAATCCACTTTTATGAAAAATTTTAGTGAATAACAACAAAATCATTGTATAAATGAATCATCGAGATGTTTTTTGAGAATTTTTTCTTGTGAATCATCTTACAAATGAATCATTTAATGATTCATTTTATTTTTCGCAAAAAAAATAAGTAAAAAAAAAAAAAACCTCTTACCTTCCTACCAAAAATTTCCTTCTTATTTGATCTTGACTCTATATATACAGAGAGAGAGAGAGAGAGAGAGTGAGAGAGAGAGAGAGAGAAAGTGAATATGTGGCTGTCATGTATGTAATGTTAGGTATAAAACCATCAAAATCGATTTTATTTTGATTGAAAAACACATTTTTCTTTAATTTTTAGCTTCCTATTGCCTTTAAACTTATATTATATTTTATTTCGTGATTTATCTTGAATATCTATCTATTCCAAATATGTTTTTTATTAGACCTTTAATAAGTTTCATAACTTCCTTCAATACCTATCTTATGTATACCTATATGGGTTTTCTATGATTTCTTATGGAAAACGGTTTATTGAGTTCTTTTAATGAATAATTTCAAACTTTCAACGTATTTTCTATATTAAATTTCAATTAGAAGACCTACAAATAGTTGGTAAAATATTTTTATACATGGTTTGTGGTGCTCTTATATATGGTTTGTGGTGCAAAATCAAAATTATAAAATTCCATAAAAATATATACAAAGCTTAGCATAAGTTCTAATAGAGGATACAAGAAAGATGGTAGAGAGATTCGATGGCATTTTGTTAAAAATATATAGTTTTTTGATGGTTCTATACCTAACATTAGGTACATGACAACCACATATTCCCTAAGCCCATATATATATATATATATATATATATATATATATATATATATATATATATATATATATATATATATATATATATAGCATGATAATTAGAATATTAGTCGGCCAAACAAGGCATTTGAATAATAGAATCCCACACAATCGGATCATATGATGTTTTTTTAGGATTATGGCCTTAGAAAAATATGTTGGTTAAATGTTGGGTGCGTGTAACGTGACAAGCTTTGTTTTAAGTCCTAACGCCAACAATGTGATTTTCGTGTATATTTTGTGGTTGCTTGAATGAAAAATTGATTCTAATTTATTTGCAATTACATGTTACCATTGTTATTGCTATGAATATATGTGTGAATTTTATGAACTTGTTCATGTAAAAGGGTGAAAAGTGTGGGTGACATATGTATAGGGAACGAGTGTATTAACTACATAGTCTCATTATTAGTCGTCATACAGGGTGTCAATATGTTGCGGAGAGCTTACGCTTTGATTAATTAGCTGTAAGAATATTTGTTGTGCCTGGCGGAGGGACTTTTTCCCTAAAAATGGTAGTAGTTCCCTAACGTGTCACTAATGGTGGAAAAAAATGAAAAGAATGATATTTGATAATTTGTTGCATTATTTTTATTTTACAGACGCCATTATGCATAGGCCCTAGGCTTACCCATTAGAATCTTTAAATGCACGCAACTCAAGAATTAACGTATCAAGTGGCAGCGGAAATAGAAATGATAAAGCTCAGACTTGAAGAAGGCGACAAGTTTTGAGGAAGACGTAGCGCACCAAGTGTTTACTTAAATTTCTATTTGCTTTCACCATTATTATTAATAATGACTTTAGTATTTTAAATTTTAGAATTTTAGAAGTTTTGAGACCCTGTTATGTTAGTATTGTTATTTGAAATTTAAGGCGTTACAAGTGGGTATCAGCGAGATGTGTAAGTAGATTAATCGTTGCTTAAATGCCTAAGCTTAAACGGGAGGAGCGGTACATCACCTTATCTGGACTGCATCTCATTCGTAGGTACAATGGATCGTGGAAAGGCAATCGTTGATAGTTGGGTGTCAGGTGAAGGTACGAGTGGGTTACTTCCTCAAGAGAAGTTGAAACACGAGTTATAGCTCTCTAATTCGGAACGCAGTTTGGAAAAAACAAATCCTCTCAACCTCTTTGAGCAGGATGAAGAAGATGAGGATGTGGAATCTAAGGAGGAACCCGACGAAGATCCTAAGGATGAGCCTGAAGAAGACCCTGACGAGGAACCCGAGGGAAATCACGTGGAGTACCATGTGAACAAAGATATGAAACATTCCATATTCCCTATTTGGAGTACATGTCAACTAGTCTCGGTTTTTATTGGGAGCATTTATATAACAAAGATATGCCCCATATACAGCTCGAGATTCACAATCTGAAAAGAAAGATTGAAGAGATAGATGAGCATATGTCAAGGCTCGTACATGAGAACGAAATATGTGTTGAGGCTGCTAAGAAAAGTAAGCGCAAGATACAAAGGTTAGAACAAGATGTGTTGGAGCTAAGGAAACCCACTATCACTAAGTTGTGGGAAGGTTTTGTGGCTCGGGCAAAGTGAGCCAAGTCCGCGACATACGGATTCCTAAATAGGGTTGTTGGAAGAGACCCACCTTAGGCCGAGGTGCTGGTAATCCAGAGTGGTCCTGGAGATCATAAAGCCAAAAAAATAAGGAAGTACTTGAAGGAGGGAAAGCAGATCTTGAAATATGATGACATTGTGTTTAAAAAGTAGAAAGTGGGGTTTTGATGAGTTTTTTTTTCTCTTGGTTCTTGGCTTAAGTTGTTTGATGTGAACAAGACATATGTCTCTTTTTGAAATTTTTGATTGGTTGGAATAAAATTTATGTTTGTTATGCTTATTGTGGTATAAACATAAATATGTAGTTAATATGTCTTCACCAAGATCTGGGAGGTTCACTAGGGTCCCCTCATAAGAAGAACAAATCCCAATTGAAGATTATGTCAGAGCACCAGGAGATGTACCAGAAACCCCACTGATCCCAAATGCTAGTCGTGGACGGGGTCAAGTAAGAGGAGAAGGCAGGGGTAGAGGAAGAGACCGAGGAGCTGTTATAGCACCATACCTGTACAATCAGCCCATGGAAGCTCTGGATCCCACTGCGGCCATAGTCGAGGTCACAGAAGGGTTCATGCTACAAACTTGGTTACTAGAGAAGAGTTTGCTGATGAAATTGCTCGGGCGATTCGAGCCACCTTACCAGATGTAGTTGCTCAGGCAGGAGAAGCAATAATGGGTGAGTATGAAAGTTATTTGGCTGGAGGTGAAGAAGACTATGAGTACAGTACACCAAATATAAATTGTGACCTAAGTATTGCACTACCCTCATGGCATCATGGCAATCATGATCGATGAGGTTGTAGTTAGAAGACGTTCATCAATTGTAAGACACCCGTTTTTAATGGAGAAATTGATCCTGTTTTGTAATCAACATCGATCATGGATATTGAGGGAACATTTGACACTAGTAAGTGTGTGGATGAGGAAAAGGTGATTATGCTGAGACAATGCTAAAAGGGGAGGCAATACAATGGTGGGGCATGGTGAAGGAAGTTAGGGGCGTGAGGCGGCCAAGAATCTGTCGTGGGATGAGTTTCCAAGAATCTTTAAAGAAAAGTTTTGCCCTCGAACAACGGTTAAACAGCTAGAGGAAGAATTCTTGAGGTTGGAACAGGGGAATATGACTGTGAGGGTGTACACCACTAAGTTCACCGATAAAGCTAGGTTTGCCGAATTTTATGTGTCTACAGAAGAAAGAAGGGTGGAACGTTATATTTGGGGATTCAGAACAGCTATCCGCGAATTTGTGCAAATTTAGAAACCAGGTACTTTCCAGTCTGTTGTAGATGTGTAACACCCGGTTCCTGGTACGTATTAAAATTCAAGTGATGATGTAATTTACTATGGGACTCGGCGAGTTGGAGGCCCAACTCGTCGAGTAGACTCGACATTATGCGGGGATTTTAGTGATCTACTTGACGAGTTTGGAGACCGACTCGGCAAGTAGGAGCTGTCTGGAAAAAAACCCTAATGTTTAGGGTTTACACCCTATTTAAACACTTTATCTCATCCCAAACCAGCCTCCATCACCCTCCCAACTCAGAGAAGCGCTAGATTGAAGCCCTAAACCCTGATTGTGTATTCTTGAGCCTTTTGGTGCTTTTTTTGTGTGTGTTTGAAGTTGGAGAAGAAAAAGGAAGCTTGGAAGTTTAAGTAGAAGCAAGGAGATCCAGAAGTCTTACTCCATTCTCAGCTCATTCCAGGTAAAAAGCTGGAACCTTGACCATCTATCTCTTAGATTTTGATTTAGGGCTATTTCTACCCTTTATATGAGTACAAAGAAGCAAAAATCGGATTTTTTGTGGGCATGCTTGAAGTTGCACTTTGGATATGGAACTATTGGGGGTCTTTATGGCATAAGCGTGCCAAAATGTTTTGGCATAAACACCCCATGCATCTTGTAGACCTCCTTTTATGGATTTTTGAGACAAAGGCCCAATGCATATACATCAAATTTGTAGCATTACGTATAAAATGAACCCTAGGAGGCCAGATCTATAATTTTGATGTGTTAAGACCCATTATAATCAATTGTATAGTTTTGGACAAAGATGGACTCGACAAGTCGTTCATAGGGACTTGGCGAGTCGGGGTGTATTTTCCACCAAGTCCTTTCTGTTTGTGGACCAGATGTTAAGACCAAAGGTTCTCTAGTTGTTTAGGTTCACTAGGAACCTGGAAATCATAGGACTTGGCGAGTGGATGAACAGATTCGGCGAGTTAAAGGCAATGTCCCAACCACATGAAGACAGACTCGACGAGTTTAAGGAGAACTCGGTGAGTCATAGACTGAACACCTTCTTATGGATGAAGATGAACTTGGCGAGTTCAAGGACAAACTCGACGATTCGGTTGAAGATAATTCGATGTGTTATTGAAGGTGAAATCATCGAGCTCTTGCTAGACCCGACGAGTAGGGACATGATTATGGCATTTTGTGGATATCGGGACTTGATGAGTTGGCGGGCGAACTCGGTGAGTCACGTCAACCAGATGTTAACTTTGACCAAAAGTTGACTTTAATAAAGGATTTGACTTTAACTTTGACTTGGATTTGAGTGAATATCTCAAGGGTTATGAGTATGAGTTGATAACATGGAAAAGTTGTCGTGTAGGGATTGAGGAATTGGGAAGAGTAGATTTTCACACCAAGGACAGTGCAGACACTACACGACATTGAGGTGAGTTACCCTTCAATAGAAGTGGGTCTAAGGCACCAAGACCAACCTACTTGTAGCTGATTACAGTTGAGATGATTGTCTTTGTGATAATTGTTTGGATTTCTATTGCTTGATGTGTTCTATGTGCTAGTATGATATGTTCTATGTGATAGTGGTAGTAGGAGGGGAATAGTCCCCCGATTCCGTCGTTAGGACCGGGCGAGATAGACCGAAGGGTAGGCAGGCACCCCAGAATGGCCTGACACGGGTAGGTCAGCACCCCAGAATGGCTTGACATGGGTAGATAGGGCACCCCATAATAGCCCGACAATATGTATGATTGTCTGGTATGTGGTATGATGGGGGAACTCCCTAAGCTTTGTGCTTACAATTTTTAGTTTTGGTTCCAGGTACCTCTTTAGCTAAGGGGAAGGAGCCGGCAGGGTAGCAGCGCATCACACGCACATGATTACCTCTTTGAGAACCCTGGGATTGTACTCTGATATTTTACTATATGATGATATGGTTTTTAAGACTTGTGATTTGTGTCTTGATGTTTGAAATGATTAAAATGATGTTTTCCGTAAACTATTTTCATAAGTAATATAATTAAGCAAAAAAAATTGGGTCTCGATTTTGGGATGTTACAAGTTGGTATCAAAGCCTTGGTTTGAGGGATTCGGGCACACCTTCGGGGGTGTCTGAACTCAAATCAAGGGCTTGAAGGATTTTTACAAGAGAACTAGTTTTCTAAAATTTAAAATAAGGAGTTTTGGAGAAAGAACAAGGTGTGTGATGCGTGCGGCCGACCGAGCTCAAGTAAGTTTTCCCCAAGATACACATACATGTTATGTTATGTTATCTGATGTGATTATGAGAACTGCATGCTAGATTAGGGCTAATGGTCTTGGAAGGATGCCTTATATGCCTGTTGTATGAGTTCATTAAGCTATATGCTAGGGCTGGATAGTCAGCAGTATGATAGCCTGATTAGGTTGTACTTGGTAATGGTTACTCAATGCACGAATGCTGCTTGCTTTGTGCTTATAGGGGTCCCAGCTGGCTTTAACTAACTAGTAAGCGAATATGTTATAGTATTCGCAAGATAGTTAGGGAAAGATGGTAGGGACTCCTTGTGCAGCTGATGGCAGAGAGTAGGTCGGAGAGTGCCCTAGGACAAGCCTAGGATAAGGTTAGTTGGAAAGTTGTATTAGTAGAAAGGGACTTGGTGAAGTCAATGCAATTCTTGAGGAAAGTGCTGATAGATGTGGAAGGTAGTATGGGCCCGAACTACTGGAAGCAGAGGATCCGTACTCGAATCAAGGAGGACTGAGATAGAACCAGGAAACTTGGAGAGTGTGTGAGACCTCTAGAGAGTATGTATAACCCTAACATCATTGTGTATATTTTTAGTATGGCGATTATGTGACATGGAACAGGATCTGGGTCAGGATCAGGGTCAGGCTCGGGTGTGGGATCCGATCAGGTTGATGACGGGATACATGAGTTCATCTCATTTGAGATCACGAGAGGTATCCTTGAGGCGACCCTGATCATTTTCGGGTCGATCAAGGAAGGGTTATCGAGCTGATGGAGGATCGCCTCCGGACATTCAGGAGTGACTTGGCATCCATCCAGTCAGGTACGCGCACACTGTCCTTCAAGGACTTCAGGGGGAGTGGTGCGCCAGACTTTCATTGGGTGAAGGACCCCATTGCAGCCAGGAGATGATCGCAGACATCGAGTCTGCACTTTTGACGAGCTTCTTCCCGGAGGGGTAGAAAGGTCCATTTTGGTGCGAGTTGTTTAAGGTACATTTCTAGGGATTGGTGGGAGTCAGTTGGTGACTCACTGGGAGCCCCAAACCATTGAGGCTATGACTTGGTCAGACTTCGTGACCAGGTTTAGGCTAATAATCCATCGTTCAAAAATTCGATTTTCGGGCTTTGTATTGCTATGCTAAATTTTAGAAAAATCATAACTTCTTCTAACGAAGTCAGATTTGGACGTTCTTTTTATGTACGTTATTGGTTTAACGTATACTACGAATTTCATTTCGCTCGCTAAGGTTAAAAAGTAGTTTATCAAAGATTCACTTTTTACGATATGAGACACTGTGTCATTTTAGCCGTAAAACTTTGACAGATCATAAGTTCTTCGTTATAATTCAGATTTTAGTGTTTCTTATATCCCTGAAATCCGTTTTACGACTACTTCAACTTTGTTTAAAGATATTGGGTCTAATATTCATTCTATTTTTGACGCATATTTGTATTATTATTTATTATATCGTTATAAGCACATATGTTACATAAATCACATGATAGTCAAATAATTTTTTTTTATTACATTAAAATAGGTTACAAATTTTGACCCTAACTATTATATCATTATAATAATGTTTAGTCTAGAAATGCAGACGTTACAATTATCTCCTCAAAATACTTCTAACATAGATCTCAAACTAGTCTTAATCTCGGATTGCATAAGAATCAAATTTTCAATGTTCCAACAATATATATATATATATATATATATATATATATATATATATATATATATATATATATATATATATATATATATATATATATATATATATATATATATATATATATATATTGTCTAGGTTACAATGCGTATGGCATATATTATGTAATCATGAGGATAATTTTGGAACAATGGGTGAAAAAAATGAATAACTATTATATGAGAGTCTATGATATTACAATGGAATAGCATGTACCATATAATCACACAAATTTCATCATAAGAGTATTTTAGTCCATTAAACAAGATTTATTAAAGGAAATTTCCCGATTTTAGGGACAATTAATTCTTTTAATTGTAAACATATGAATTTTAAATTAAGTTTGTTAATTTGAGATATCCTGACAAAATATATTTTGCTTATGAGTGTGGTGTGCATTTTTGAAGAATGTGCTTATAAATACCAAATCAAAAAAAAAAATTTAAAAATTTCATTCTAGTATAATGTAATATATAAATATTCATTAACTAATAGCATATTAAATAATTACATTTTATGAACTAATCTAAATTAAAATACTGAAAACGCATAAAAATATTAAAGATTTTACTACGCATTCTAGAATAATAAAATACAAAAAACAT